CCCCAAAACCCCAAAACCCCAAAACCCCAAAACCCCTACATAAGCTTCCAAGTTGAGTCCAATTAATAATGAATAATCCCAAATCTATAACCCAGAAGTTAACCGAGATTATTGAGACTAAGGAGTACTTGGTCACTATGTACGTTTGTACTTTTGTATGGCTGATTTATCTCCTAGGGGTCAGGATGACCGATGATGGTATAGGAGCGTATTTCTGTTACTTTTTCTTCAACCTCTACTTAGCTGTTACCAATCTGATCTTCTTCTTGACTGCAGCTTCTGAAGTTACAATCACAACTCTTATCAAGAAAGATCCTGTTGTATCCCTAAATGGAAATCCCAACTTTGCTGGGAATGGTCATCCAAATGTTTTTAATAATGGTAGTCAAAATCCTGTAAACAATGGCCATCCAAATCCTGTGAACAATGTCAATCCTAATCCAGCTGCCAAAGGTAAGCCTCCTATTGTAGTCAATGGTGCTGACAACCATGTTGCTGTTGTTCCTATGAACAATCATGGTAGTGAAGAAGAGAAGGATCCAGAACCTAAGCCTTCTACTGAGGAGAATCCCACTTGGCTGTTGATACTTTCCATTTTCATTGGATACTTCTGGTATGCTTTGTTCTGCTTGTTACAGAAAACTAAGGAGAATACCAGAAAGCCTGACCGTGCCACAATGAGAAAGCATATCTTGTTAGTATGAGGTATCTCTTCATTACAGTGGTTGCTCTGCCTCATCCTCCCAGTTGTAACTTTCAAAGGAAGCGCAGCAGGCTTTTGGCTATCATTCCTGTGGATGATCTACCTCCAAGGATTTTGCTACACTGTTTATTTCCAGACAAGGGCTTATCTCTTTGAGGTCAAATGGGTGCCATACTTCTCTCCAGTCACTTGGCTCTTTATGATCGGAGGTTATACATCCATGATCTGTGGTACCAATAAACATAACCCAAACACGCAGGAAAAACCCGTAAATCTAAGTGGAGCACCTCTGAATCAAAATGAAATGTATGGAAATCAATATCCACCCCACCCTGTTGACGCTAATGGTAACCTTATAATCCACCCTCGTGCTAACACTCTCGCAGACCTAAACGATCAACGCCAAGCTAACGGCCCTGAACAACTAGACGACCCTGAACAAGGTAAGCCAGCAATACTAAGCTCTTTGGCTCTGATCTCGCCTAAAATCCTAGCTGGAGGTTTAGCCAGCGGCTAAGTCAAGTGGGGCTTTCTTAGAAGCAGCGATCTTTGAGCTACAGTGAGATTGGTGGGAGATCAAGGGTCAGGGATTAGCTTGGGAGGGAAATTAGACGGGGAAGGGGGATTTGGGGTAGGAGAGGGGGTTTCTGGAGAAGTTCCAGGGGTTAGGTGGTAGTGCAAGAGTTTTGGAGTTTTAACGGGATCTTTGAAAATGGAGCCTGAGGGGTGGATGGGGTTGATAAGAGCATTGTATATCAAGAATTTAAAGCTTTGTAAAGTTGCTCTGTTACAATTTTTAAACAATTTTTTTTGCTTCTTGTTAGAATTCAACATTATTAAAAATTAAAATTATCAAGCAATTCTGATTCTCAAAAATCCAAAAGTCATATTATTAAATTTTACTCAAAATCAGAAAATTTAAAACAGCCGTTACTAGATTTCATTAAAATTTAAATTTATTTCATCCAACTTCCGCTATTACCAAAATTCTTTTCCCCCTTTTATTTTCAAAATAAGCTACCTCTCTCACATCACCCATCTCTAACATCCTAACCCTATAGACCCTCACCAGCACCCAGGCGTAAACAAAGAGAACATCTTCCATCCCAAGAACCAAGTTGCTCCAGACCAATAAGAGTTTCACTAAGAATTTTCACTAAGAATTTTGGACTAAGACTCCAAGCCCTGATCTCCTCTTCTAGTACCTTGGGTAGTTGTTCCCCAGTCTTCGCTGACTCCAGAGGCTTGCTTTAGCTTGGCTGAGCCCAAGAGGAGAGCAAAAAAATTTTGTGTATTCTTTGTGCTGCTGATTTAGGAAGATGACATTGTTACTGAGAGGATTGTTTGAGTAGAGATTTGCAAGGGAGATAGAGAGGGGAGGATGGGAGGAGGAGTTTTTGGAGATGGGGAGGGGATAGGAAGGATAGGAGGGAATGGAGGAGGGGAGAGGCAGAGTTGGGGATTTTTAGGAAATCAGGAATAGTTTCGCTTTCAACTTAGGTTTGAAGTAAGGGGTTTTGGGGTTTTGGGGTTTTGGGGTTTTGGGGTTTTGGGG